GGTGGAAAAAAGTGCGTGAAAAACCAGCAGACTAAAGCTGTAAGGGATGCATGATAATAAAGTGCAACAACAAGAGAAACGATAACTCCCGATTCACTTCCCAACCTCCCACGCGCCGTAACGGTTCCGTATTATTTCGATTATGTTATACCTTGGCAAATTAAGCAAAGGGGGAAAAGAAGAAAGGGACCCAAGATCGTCACGCTCGCTAGCGAATTTATTTTATATGGCGACGTTTTTCATCCCCTCCAAAGCCTCAGCCTCCAGGAATGTCGGAGAGCGTGGTGTCGTTACGTTGCTTTTGCGGTTTTCCTTTTCCTCTTCTTTCGATTTGCCAGAATTTGACCCTTGCTCAGCGGATTCTTTGGTGGTGACTTCACCATTCGATGTGTTGGCGGTATTGGTTGTGCTCACTGTGTTTGTTGTAGTGGAAGGGGAGGCAAGTTCCGTCGGCTCATCCAGCTTCTTGGAAGTATCAGAATTTAACGATGAAGGGCCATCTACCTTGTCGTTACTAGGATCTGAAACATCCGGTGACGTTGTCTCCTCCGCGACTCGTGCGAGAGGGCTTGAGACGCCAAATGTCGTCTTTGGGCTTGCATTTGGGCCGCGAGAGGGAAATCGGTGGGGGGAACGTCCGCGTTCGTCACCGTTGACGGTTGGGGTTCCATATGGAGAATCTCGGTTTCCATTCACACTAGTATTCACACCAAGGCCGTTCGTTGGCTTTCTCCTTGGTGGCTTCCGGCCATACTTTTGATCTGTACGCCAGCGAAGGATTTCAAGATAAGGTGGCTCCACACCTGGTTGTTTGAATTGCTTTAGTTTAAGTTCACCCGAGTCTTCGTCCACAAAGGATTTTGGGGAACATAGATCCTCCGCAACAATGGCTAGAAACGCAGCCCATGAACGCGCAACAACGTATTTACAGTCGTAGTCACGACCAAATAGGATCACCTGACCCCATTTTCCCGAGGGACCTGGCGCTAGATCGATGGCGATGTTGTTTCCACCCCAGTCGCGAGCAAGAGGAATCCAGCTTGGGTGAGCATATGCCTTCTGGATGGCCTTTGGTGGTTGTGAGTCCTGTTTGTCCAACAATTCCTGTCTCCACAATGTGTTCGAGGCTGTTTGGGTTGGCGGAGGCCCAGATGAGGAAGAAGCAGGTGAGCTGCCGCCAAAAACTTTCGAGGGTGGCTGAGGAGGGGAGAATGACGAAGTACTGAGAAATTCCTCGTTTACGGTTCTCCAATTTTTCCATTCCTGGACAATTTCCTCGCAGTCGAGTAGCATGCAGCCGAATATGATGCCAGTTGGCGTTCCACCGCGTTCTTGTCCGTCATGAATCTGTAAGGATTCCCGAACCTCGAGTGGAAGACTGCAGTCCAATTCGTGTTCGAGCTCATTGACATCATTCTGCGAGCATCCTTCACACAACTGGTCGTAAAGCTCCTCGTAGTTCTTTTCCGCCCATAGATCAATCTTTTTCCAAGAATGCGAAACTGGAGGAGGCAGCGGGGCGCCGTCATGGAAACTTTGCATTTGTATCTCTGTGGGAGGGACGCTACCGGCGCCAATGTGTTCGGCTGATTTTCTTTGCTGGGATGATAGCGACCTTATTCCTGGTGAGTAGGGTCGAACAGGAGGCGTGACTCCCCTCTGCGAGCCCGTCCAGCCCGGGCTGGACGATCGTTGGGCAGGATTGTCTTCGAGAGATGTCAAATCTGGCCGAGATTCGACTGCGCTTGTGACCACGGAAGTGAGAGGAGCATTGCGGTTTTGGCTGAGGGGAACATGTTGACCGCTTCGGTAGGGAGAATCGTGGGAGGCGTGTCTGTCATTTGAAGTCATGGTATGCCAGAAGGAGCGAAATGCCGAAACAAATCTGGAGCGGATTAGCAGCGGCCAACTTCCTCCTCCCCCTCCCTCTCCTCCTCCTCCTCCTCCTTATTATTATTATTATTATTCTCAGAGGGTAAGGGTAGGAGCTAGTCGATAAGTGATACTTACGTGGATGGCATGGCAGGCGGGAAAGTCGTTGTGGTTGTGGTGGAGCTGATTGGCTGCGTGTGGTATATATATATATCTTCGAGACTCGACTCAAGGAGATAGATACCAAAGTGTTATAGAAGTCGTTTGGGTATCGACAATCCCACGGGGTAGATGAAAATAACCACAGTGTAATGTTATCCGAAGTAGTAGTAGACAACCGTGAAGAGGCAGCGGCAAACAACACACACAGGAGTATCCGGGGAGCGAGCAGACTCGGTAACATAGAGATTGAACTCCCTATCCACACCGTCTGGGGAGGCGGAGGAAATGAAAGGGTCGAGGAGAGACAATGAGAGATGCGAGGCAGCGAGGGACGAAGAGGAGAGGAGAGGAGAGGAGAGGAGAGGAGAGGAGAGGAGAGGATATCCTGGTGGTTAGGCAGTGGATGGGGGTTCGTTGGTTGGTTGGTTGGTTGGTTGGTTGCGTGGGTGGGTGTTAAAGCTGACGACGGAAGGGAAAAGTGAACGACAAACGGCAGCACAGCCAATGAGCAGGGGGGCGGCAGTATTGGGTACCGTGAAACACGCTTGCTGAAATGTGGCGGTTAGGTACCTGGCACTTGCTCGAGAGCCCCTCGAACCCGTTGGACCGGGGGTTTGTTTGCGGCAAAAGGACCGAGGAAATATCTAAAATCTATACCACGCTCAGAGACGGTCATAGCGGTATTGACTTGTGCGAAAAGGGATTTTGTGAGCTGGGTGTGATTTTTTATTTTTTCCTTTTTCTTTTTCTTTTTCTTTGTGTGTGTGTGTGTGTGTGTGTGTGTGTGTGTGTGTGTGTGTGAGATAGCCCTGCTCTTAGAGTGGACTTTTCTCACCTATAAATAGGCTGCTATACCCCTATATCGACATCATTCAAAATCCATCCCCCTCCTGGTCTTAATTCCACTCTGCTCTCTCTATTCCATTCCTCTCCCAACAAACAAGAATAAAACGAATCTCTGTGTTGCAACCATGAAATGACGCAAGGTTACGTTCTGTCCCTGAAACCAAAAAATTTTAACCTTCAACATGAACCATAGAAAACCTTCGATCTCCCATCCACAGAATTTGAAATCGGATCCTCTTCCAAACATTCTCCTCGAGCCTCTCCCGGTCGGGTTCTCATCCTGGCCCCAAGGGTTAATCCAAAATTCTTTCCCTGATCTTGAAAATGGAAAAATACACATCCTTCACTCTTTTCTCAGATTGAAAGTAAACATGACATCCGCCGCCTTTCCCCCACTCTGCTGAAGTTCGTCGTTGACCCAAAGTATTTTGAACGGTGTTCAGATAACTTTAGTTATATTTTTATTGGGTTTTTGATATGTAACGATGTATTACTTTTTCTTTTTCTTTCTTCTGTCCCTCACCCGCTGGGCGCTATTAAGCATAATCTACACCCCTGGAATTGGACGCGCTGAGGTGCATATTCAACGCTGTCTGGATTTGCGGGCAAGGCTGATGTCAGTTGGACGAGTCTTTAAAGCCGAAAAACCGAGGGAAATTATCCAACCAAACAAGGTTACACTGACCAGCAGGATGCTTATGCTGATGTCGTTATTATTACTATTAACTGCTGTTATTATTTATTGTTGTTGCTACTTTTATTACATGGTGATGAACACCCGAACACTGAAGAAGTTTGAAAATTACTCTGCAAAACATGAGGAAATGGGGCTTTAAATTTTGGCATGTGAAAGAGCTCCGAGTGAAATAAATAAATAAAGGTCTGGAGCCAAAATGTCGTTCTCTACCCATCATTTCTCATTCTCTGCTTCTGGTATTCACTCCACAGGTTAGTTGTTTCAAAATTTCTAGTACAAGTATCTTTGAAAGTTCAGCATTAGAAATTAAATTACTTGCCAGGCTCTGATCTTCAGAGCTGAAATAGTCATAACATAATCCACAGAAACAAATGCGGCTGAGGAAACAAGATGTAAGAAAAGAATGTAAATTAGCTTCTAGCTACAGTGATTGCCGTCGAAAACAAAAGAAAAAGCTCATAACATATCATGCTTGATAATGTCAATCTCATCAAGAGAGAAGAAGAATGACAGCATAATAATCAAGTAAGAGAGTGTAAGAGAAATCAATCAATATTAAGAAAACAAAATCTGAGAACAGCGAGGATGGCCCAAAAAGAAAAGAAAACGAAGCGAGAGTGAGTGAGGGAAGATGTGAGTAAATAAGCGACAAACTAAACAAACCAAACATAGAAAAAATCTGAAATGAATCAAGACAAATGAGTGTCTGCTTGCAGCAAAGAAAACAGGGGTATAGGCATGCAAGGAGCCCTCCTGTTGAGCTTGGCTGAAGGAAAAAGGCCAATGGAAAAGAGAAAGAAAAAGTCACACCCTCTGAGTAATCCTATCCCAACATCCGATGTTCCTCACCAAATCCACCCCTCCGTGAAATCCCTCTGCAAATCCCCCCGTATCTCCCTAGACGCCGTGTTAATAGAAATCGGAAAGAAAAGAAGATTGCACGACGATGACAAGCGGGAGACCTTGAAAAATATTGCACCAAGCCAACCGGTCATATAATCATATCGATACACCTCGAAAGGGATAACTGAACCCAAAAGGAAACCCGAAAAATCGGTCATGAGATGGTGCAAAAAATAATAAATAAATAAAAAAAAAAGGAAAAGGGAAAAAGAAAAGCCTACAGCCACATAAATCCGAGCCTTGCGGATCACAAGAGTAAGAAAACCATGCGAGTCAGAACCGGGATCGGTTAACACAGAGAATAAATCGTGCTGAAAAGAATAATGGAAAAAAAAGCCATCATTCCTTAAGAAGACCTTGGTTTCACGTTATTCGAGACCATTAATAGCGTGTAAGAAAAGTAAAATATCGGAGCGCTGAATATGCAATATGTGCAAAAAAACCTCGTCCGGGAAATCATCGGAAAAAGAAATGATCCATGGATATGGTCGACTAGAGATACAGTAAAACCCCGCTATCCTCAACTATGATTAGAATCGAGCTTCAAAATGCGGCGTAAATCAGCTTCCATCTGCCTGGGGTCGACAGGGTTGGTTCTAGGAGAATTTAGACGTAAAGAAGACACGTCGGAATTAAAGCATGAGAGGGTTCTGTTTGGAGAAGGAGATGCAAGATTTACGACGGTCTGAGAGCGCTTCAGATTGTTTTGAGAAGATGAAGGGCTGCGTTCCGTTGAAAATGGGGTGCTGTTGATAGGGCTAGTAGAAGAAAGTTCTCGACGAAGGTTGGAAGATGGAGTTCGAGTTGCTTGAGAACCGTTGTAGACGGACGACAAGTACTGGTGTGCAATGCTGCCGCTTCCCAGACTGGAACCTTTAGGAGAGCCATTATGACCACCAAACGGAATTGGAGTTGACGGACCAGATGCATGTCGAGAAAGAGGCGTGGCGTTACCAGGAACCCAACCTTTGGAACTGAAGATGTTTGAGTCTTTGTACACCTTAGGCGATGCAGAGGATGGACGTTGTGGTTGAGGATTCAATAGCAAATTCTTTAGCGCTTCAGTTTTGGCCTTTCTCTGGTCCTCGTCGAGTGGCAAACTTTCATTCGACCTTGAAGGGGAGCTGGCTGATCGAAGAGCATTGATTCGATCCTTGTAGGGAGTGGCGAAAGACGGCCCGATTACTATTCTGCGACTATCGGGAGATTCCAGCTCAATAGGAAAGATTCCCCCGGGACTCCTTTCTGATCGATGGAGGGTTGCCCGCGCTGTAACGTTTGGCTGCGCTTGCGACGGTCTCCCAGGCGTGGGCTCTCCGCTGCCGAATCTATTCGTCACTTTCGCACCTTTTGCGGATTTAAAGAGGAATTCCAGCGGTGAGGGGTTCTCTACTGCATTTTCTGGAGTAGGTACGACTGCTTTTGATTTTGCTGGCGTGGCTTCTTGGGGGCTTGTATCCTCCGAATCATCGTCGAGTGAATCAGGGCTTTCCGTATCTGGAACGGATTTGGAGAAAAAAGTGGGTATTGGCAGAGCTGAGGGGGCGGGAGACGCATGGAAAGTCGGTCCAGCGTAATGAGAGCCATCGGGGAGAGAAGATAATATGTTCGGTTGCGATGCTGAATGGCGGTGGCTGTGGCCAGTCCCATTGACTGCCGGGGATGGTTTCGAATTTTGGCTATTTTGGTTATTTTGGCTATTCTTTTTCCCAAACCGGCTCTTCCTCTTCTGCGATGCACCTTCAGAGAGAGTATTACTGAAAGCTTCCTCGGTACTGGGGCTTGGGGGGCTTGAACGAGGTTTGGGGGGGATGAAACCGTTCGGAGAGTCGCTACGGTGTGTATTGTTGGCGAGAGGTGTAATCTTGGAAGGTTTACGGTTACGGCGAGGATTGCGAGGCCCCTTCGGAGTGGTAGGAATTGGAGTCGACATTGAGACTTCGGAATAAAAAAAAAAGAGGCTTAATAAATAGGCAGCCTGGTAATAGAAATAATAGAAGGAAATAAATAAACAAGCTAAAAAGCTAAATGCGCAGGATCAATGGAACACCAAGACTGAGAGTAGGAGAAAGCAGTTCTATTCAGGGAGCATAAAACGGTCGCACAAGAGTAGCAAGGGAGTCACAAATGTGAAGGACCAAAGCTGGCTTCTCGAGGACGTTTCCTTGGGGGGGGTGATGGGGTTGTGGATCTTCGTGGTTGGATAGTTGGAGGGAATGACTGGGTGGAGAAGGAAACAGATGCCCGAAGCATATTCATAATTTGAGAAGAACACACATAAGTGGTGGAGCTGGAAGAGAATAAAGTAGTAGCTAGAGCTTAGGAAGCGCAGAAGCTGAGGAAGCGCGGAAGATGGTGGAAGAGAAGATATGGGGATGTTGGATGTTGGATGTTGTAAGTTCGGATGTCGGGTGTCAGAGGATGTTTGTGGCTGCTACGAAGAGAAGAGGCGGAAGGGGCAACAAGCCACAGTTAAACCAACCGTTTAACCAAAAAAGGTTGGTTTCAGTTTGGGTGGCGCAGTTATTCCTCGGGTTCGGAGTTTGTTGCCAAACGAGGACACTACGGAGATAGGATGTTCCGGTCAACTTCTTGCTTATGTTATATAACCCATCTCGGTGCTTTGGAAACGGGGACTTTGGTCGATAACATGAACGGCTGTTTCTTTAATGTATCAAACTCCCCTGAGGCTGGACTGCGTAGGGTCCTCGAGGGTTAGATCCGCGGACCTTTACACTTCCAGAACACGTTTTATTCTGTCAATGCTGATGAAAATACCCTGTGATTTGGAGGTATATCTTAGTGAAGGCACCAGCCGCTGAAGAGCTCTCCATATTTACCTTCACTACATATCCCCTTGACAGCCCCACTCTATTACGATACCCTGCTCTCTATTCTATTTCACTTTTCAGCTGTGCCCTGTTTTTTGGAAATATCGTCTGCTTCAGCCGCCACCCATCATTTAGTAAACGCATAATACCGTCCATCGAGTCCCCCAGATCATGGCTGATGTCGAAATGAAAGATGCCGCTCCCGGTGCCTCAGGGAAATCAAAGGCGGTTACAAAGGGGAAATCCGCCATTGGCGAAGGCAAGGGAGATTCGAAAAAGCGGTTCGAAGTGAAGAAAGTCTGTCGACGGACTGCTCTACATTCTTCCCCGGTATACTACCTGCTTCATACACTGACAGTTGCTGTTACCTCTTTATAGTGGAACGCCGTCGCTCTGTGGGCATGGGATATCGTCGTAGATAACTGTGCCATTTGCAGAAACCATATCATGGACCTTTGTGAGTAGTTTTCAGTCAAAAGTCTTGTGAAATTCATCTTCCTTGAATGGAATGGTCGCTTACTTTTACTTCCTTATGCAACAACCTAAGGCATCGAATGCCAGGCAAACCAAGGGTCATCCACAACAGAGGAATGCACTGCTGCTTGGGGAATTTGCAATGTGAGTCCATTTTGTTTGTTTGTAATCATATGTATATATATTCAGATTATACTTTAAGATATGCTCGTTACAGGGCTGACCAGAGTGGAACACGATCATCTATGTATAGCACGCATTCCATTTCCACTGCATTTCGAGATGGCTGAGAACCAGACAAGTGTGCCCACTGGATAACAGGGATTGGGAGTTCCAGAAATATGGACGATAGACTATCCTAAATATATACAATCGATGGACCGATGTGCATGTTAGATGACGGGAATCTCGCAAGCGCCCTAAGATCGACGCCTAAAATACGAACGTGCCTCGGGATGGTGTCTGGCAGAGCAAACGTACGAACGAGCTCCCTAGACCCGGTTAACAGTTAGCGAAGGAGATTGGAATGGCGGCTATGGGGTTAACGAAATATACATTATGAAGCACGATTTTTATAGAGTTTTCCATGCGTAAATAAATGGCAGCAGAGAGGGAACACCCCTATTCCATTTACTGCTGAGTTCTTTGGTTCTCTCTCTCTTTCTGTCTCCTTGCTTCCTGCCGACATTCCGCGGTGTAGATGAACCAAAAAGACCAACCAAGGATATGTAGAATATAAATATGCTGACCAAAGGAACGTCTTCCATTTGTCATGTAATATAAATCAAAAGACAGAGAGGGAGACACATGCATTCCTCTGTTCACATTCCTTCCTCCGCGCCCCACCCCTGCAAACCCCATCACCCATCACCGCTTGCCCCCATCCACCACAATTCCTTCCCTCCCTACACCCCCAGACCCGACAATCAACCACGGCTCCGGATGCTTGTTATACATGGGCCACGGCGGCACAACCACCAATGTCGTTATGAGGGTTCCCGCCAACCCAATCCAGAGGGTCAGGTGTACATCTTGGGCCACATAGCCGACGATAAATGAGATTGCCTGTGTTTTTGCGCGAAGGGTTAGGTGGTTTGGTTCTTCATTTGGCTGTCTACAGAAGAGTACTCACGGCGAAGTTGATGATTAGTCCTGTGCAGAGCTGTTCGGCAATGCGCTGGCCGTGAAAGTCCTATAATAGATATAGGCATTAGCATCATTTCCCAGCTGAGTATCATCGAGACAGTTATCTACTCCGCGGATATCGTGTTTGCAATTCCGACTTATTGTCGGAATGCGCATTGCTTGTCGCCGTTGGCTTCTTTGCGCAAACGTGTCCTTCTTTTAGGTATGACATTGAAAACGGGTTAAGGGGGGAATACTTGGCGCATTGATTGTATATACATACTATTTGGGCTTCGAAGATATCTTGGAGTGGGGCGAGGAGGTCATCCATATTGAGTTGCTCTGTTGCATCAGTGATTTGCATTGTATGAAGTTTTACCTTCTGTCATTGGGCTTGGTTAAAGGGAGGCCTCGAAATTAGTAGTCTAACCCGAATTGTACTAGCCGAAAACCTTGTACTTTAAACTCTTTGATTGACGAATGGGGAACCAAGATCTAAAATTACTTCAGCTGTGTATTTTATTTCTTTAATTTTTTAATTCTCTAATCGCTCGTTCAATTTGATTGCCGAATATTGTTCTGACGCTCAACATTTCTCTGAATTCGCAATCTTCTTATCTTACCAGCAACTGGTTTCAGCACTGATGAATTAACAAGCTCGAAGAGGAGGAAAGAAGAAACAGTGAAAGAGAATAAATGATAACTATACTATGGAGTTTGATGTTGAAATCAAACCCTACACTCGTCATTGCCAAATGGAGGGAGGGGGATAAATGCAACAGGGAATAAAAAAGCTTCTCCTGAGATGATGTTCTATCTCTCTGATTGAGGAGACGCGACCAAATCCCTGAACGAGGGAATCAGAGCCGTCTTGACTCGGGAGCCCTCCTCAGATATTTGGAAAGCAACGTTGCCCACACGGTGTTTGAAGGCAGAGATGCATTTTTGCCCATACCGGCCGCTATTTCACGATGGCTCCCAACAAAATGCTGTGACTTTGTGGAGGCTGATTTGATTTTGACAGAACGAAATCGGTACAATACCTTTGAATACATGGGAACCTCTTGTACCATTGTTCAAACCGCCCGTCCTTTATCTAACAGGGCAACGCCATGCTTCATCGTATCCCATCTCTCTTTCTTTCTTTTTCTACGTCATATTTAAGACTCTTTCGGCTTCGAGTCTTGCTGTTGAAAAAAGATGATGACCTACGAACCCTCCCGACGTGGTGGAACTTTTTCCCTTGTCCTTACTCAGGAATGGTGATCTATTCTTAGAAGTTTTTGACTACTTCAATTATACATGCATTTTTATATGTAATTCATTCATATCCTTTCGCCTTTCAGCAGGAATGAATTCAGATCTTTTAAATCTCGTCGAAGGAATATATCTGTGCTTGATTCTGTCTATCCAATTCCAGCAAAACATTTGGGACGCCGGCGTCATATCTTTTATTCATGAAAGGCATGGATACCCACGTTGGAGAGAGAGTGAGAGCTTGCACTCTCTATTAGGGAAAAGGCACTCAGATACATCCCAGCAAACTTGAAGACCAATTTCCAAGCCCAGGAGGATATCCGAAATTACGGAGAAGTAGAAGGATTATTTGGGAGGAGGGGGACTGCTGAGATTCCTAACAGCCTTTGATTCCCCGAGCAGATTTCGAGGCGGGGGGGGGGGGGGGGGGGG